TACCCCAGTGCTACGTTCCCGAAAAATAGCATTGAATGTTTGAAGGAGGCGGTTTCGAGTTACCATTGCACCAAATAGCATCATTTAATTGAAATACTTCTTTATGTGCCGAACATTCATTTGAATCGTTACAGTCTGCAGTCACCCACCCCACCCCATCACCCTCATTACCGTCATCATCATCATCACGTTCGGTTATCCAGTAAGTAGGTCATTATTTGACCTTTCCCCTTGACCTCGATGTTTACACGGCAGGTCAGATTGTAGTTGTGACGTGAAAGGATGTTGTACACTTCCCTGGTCATCTGGAATGTTTGTGATGGTGATGATGATGATGACGGTGGTAGTGATGATGATGATCGTGATGATGTCGGTGGTGATGATGATGATGGTGATGAGGGTGATGGGGTGGGGTGGGTGACTGCAGACTGTAACGATTCAAATGAATGTTCGGCACATAAAGAAGTATTTCAATTAAATGATGCTATTTGGTGCAATGGTAACTCGAAACCGACTCCTTCAAACATTCAATGCTATTTTTCGGGAATGTAGCACTGGGGTAGGATTACCGGGGAGTATTTTAATAAAAGATGGTTAAAGAGTAACAAAATGCGAGTTTTGTGAAATAAAATTTCAACTAACATTGTTGAAAATGTGTTATATTTGTTATTCGTGTCCTTTTATTACCGTTCATTTGACTTGCTCGGCTTATCGTCTCACTTATGAAATTGCATGGGTCCTAACGAACAAGCTACATGATATATTTACTTGACTTATTGTGTTTAAAACAATATTATAATTAAATCGAATCATGTATTTTAAAAATATTTTTGCAAATTTAAATATAAAAACTGCATTTTATCCTGTGAAATACAGTGGCTTACACTTGAGCCAGAGGTCGGTTTACTGGGATTGAACTATAGCCACTCCTTTTTTCTTATTCGATCACGTTAAGCTTGGGTGGTTCTTTTAACGAAATAAACCTAAACAGTGTAAATAATTTCCGATAGTTACTGTAGCAAGTACCTTCATTATGTTCAGTAAATGTTTTACACTCTGGTACTCATGATGGGGAGTCGACTGCACATGAACAGGAGGAAAATAGTTGCTGAAATATCAATTTTGAATGATTTACGGTTTATTTTGTAAAAGAATTAATATAAGCATAACGAAATCGAATATTTTTAATTTTAAATTAGTTTATTTAATACTAATAAGTAGTAATTGCCAATTATATATATCAGTGCTGGTTTTCTAATGATATTAGTAGTAGATTTTAAATAATGGTACAGTTTCAAGATATATTCGTTGGTTGTTTGATCGATTGATTGGTTGTTTGGTCAATTCGTTTGAATCAGCAGTTGATTGGCTGGTTAATTAATAGTACAGTATCCTATTAAACAGGATAGTATCACAAAATGGAATAAATTAATTTCATCAACAATTTTAAAAATTCCAAAAATTGATTTCAGTGCGATTTCGATAATGATGATTGTGACCTGACTGATAAAAAAACATCTAAAAAAAACTATTAAAATAGGATGGGTAATTTGTTATGAAATCGTTGGAGGAAATGACGTCATCCTAGCGGCAGTTATTCAACAGCCCGCTAGTGAGTTAGCCTGCTTGAAGGTTATATTCGATTCCTGTCAGGCAAATTTCACCAAACATTACGTGCCCACAAAACTAAATACAGAAATATATAAATAGATATATATGGTTATTAAGTAAGGAGTGGTCTCAAATTATTTTGATAGCTCCCATAGAAATTCAATAATGAATAAATATACAGAAAGTAACGAAAATTTATAATTTATATGTTTTTATAAGAGGCATTAAACATAGAAGACCAAGCCAGCCAATCAGAGAGCTTCTATGGCGTTACCTGCTTGGAGTCAATTTAGCTTGGTTAGCAATGTTGTTAAGAACGTATAGTGGTGTATTACATACGTACATGAAATAAGCTTTTCACTGATGTGAATGGTTGAAGTGATGAGGATGTATGGCTCAAACGAGTATAAAAAGGAGCTGAAAAAGCGTTGAAACCAGATCAGGCATTTCTGCCTCGCTCGAGTCGGAGTGCCTGATCTCATTTTTTTATATTTATTTTTTTTAATTTATTTATTTTAATTTTATTTTATTATATAGAGTTATATAGAGTTTGCATGTCTGTGGTTTGTATGTTGTGTTTTTTTATATTTTAGGTGGGTTCTTTAGCGGTTGTTCATACGTACATACATACATCATGTTTGTTTGTGTGGTAGTATTTTATGTTCTGTTTTACTCCTTTTTCTCTTTCTTCATGAGTCTTGAGTTAAGTTAATGAAGCATAGGTAGGTGAGGTAAAAATTAATTTATTATATAGGTAGGCTAGGGCATAAGGTAATTTAGTTACATAGGTAGGTTAGGGACTCCTATTCTTTTGCTCTACCTGGTGGTGTGATTTTTGTTTTGTGTTTTTTTTTTGTTTTGTTTCACATCATACATTCAGCAGGTACGCGGTGGTTCCTGGTGGTTAGTGGGATTTTTATTGATTGAATGTGGTAGTATGCATGGTTATATAGAGTTATATAGAGTTATATAGAGTTATATAGAGTTATATAGAGTTATATAGAGTTATATAGAGTTATATAGAGTTATATAGAGTTATATAGAGTTATATAGAGTTATATAGAGTTATATAGAGTTATATAGAGTTATATAGAGTTATATAGAGTTATATAGAGTTATATAGAGTTATATAGAGTTATATAGAGTTATATAGAGTTATATAGAGTTATATAGAGTTATATAGAGTTATATAGAGTTATATAGAGTTATATAGAGTTATATAGAGTTATATAGAGTTATATAGAGTTATATAGAGTTATATAGAGTTATATAGAGTTATATAGAGTTATATAGAGTTATATAGAGTTATATAGAGTTATATAGAGTTATATAGAGTTATATAGAGTTATATAGAGTTATATAGAGTTATATAGAGTT